CTTACGAAGCTAAATTGGAGGGCAAACTTGGAAAATCCCCATGAAATGATGAAGAAGAATGCATATGGTGAATTCCATATCAAATCAACCAAAAAAAGTCGATTCTCAACCCGACCCCCTTCAATTTTTCTTAAATTTTGCATAATGGTAGTATATACTATAACTAAGAAAAAAATGAAATTTTACCTCCCAAAAAGGTTTACCCGCTCAGATATGGGCGTTTAAAGCGCGGAAAAATGGTACATTTTTGACAAAAAGTGCCTCATTTATTTTCAAATATCTCAAGAAATAATTAAGTTAGAAAAATAATTTAAATTTTATTATGTAGCTTAATAATAGTTCTTTAATATGACATAAAAATAAATATGATATAAATTTGATGAATGTCCAAAACCGGATGTATAAAACCGGAAATGGCCATAGAAAAAAAAAGGTATTTTTTTTTTCGAAATTTTTTTTCTGTAGATAGATATATTACTGTTTTATATTTGTGCCAAATCCTAGCCTGGGATGAAAAAGGGTCTAGGAGTTATGACTCTTTATATGGCTTAAATTGATCAAAAATATCTTCATTTAATGAATACTTATGAAATAATGTTTTTTTAAAAATTCTGTCTAAATGATAGGCCCTAACTTTTTTTTATTTTTATGTTAACATATTGTGACTGAAAATTACTTGACAAAATAATTCTAAACCAATTTATAACTTTATTTTTCTGAAATGCATAATTACATATAATATAATAATTCATAATTATGTTTACAATATATCATATATTAAATTATCTAAAGAATTGGAATAAATTTTGACTTTAATTTTATTTTCGTCAAGGGGAATATAAGCATGGTATTTTTGTGTTCCCGGAATTCTTTTTGCTCTCAAAAATCTGCTTTCTAGATGATTTTCCATATTATTGTATTCATTATTGCTTACAAAAATGTAATTTACTCCGTGTATATTATTTGTTGCAAAGTCGAATAAATCCATTGGTGTCAAAATATGGTTTTGATATGGCCGTTGCAAACTAGCTCGAGCTGCTAACCGTTTTGTAATACCTCCTAAACTGTCGCACGGACTTTTTCCATGAGCTGTAGCAAAAAAATGCCACTCGGCCTTTATACCAAAATCACATTCATGATTATAGAGATTTATGAAATTTTTTTTATTTTTATATTGGGTTACGGCCCCATCAGAAAAATAATAAATTTTGGTCAATGTATCAAATCTTTCTTTTAAAAATAAGATCATTTTAGTTTGAAATAAATAAAAGGCACAGGCATTGTGCTTTAAACAATCTGATATTACCACTAAACTTATATGTTTTATAGTGTTGTCCTGACGATAATAAATGATAAAAGGGTGAATAGTGGACTGATTATTTGTCCAATGAAATCCCTGTGCATGGTATAGCACTATAAATGCATAATTTTCCGAAAAGTCGGCAATAACTAAGTATTCGCCAAAATTTAAATTAGATTTTAAATTGTTTTGAAATAATGATTGTTGTGATGCTATAAATGAATGTGGAATCAAATTGTCTAATTTCTCAATTAAATAATCTAGGAATTCATCAGCTGATTTTGTCAGCGTTTCGAGCGTAGTTCTATCAACTGCCAACCATTGTTTAAATGATATATAATCTATTGAATTCGTATCAAATAATATAATAAGTCTTTCTTTTATTTGGGATGATCCAGGACAAAATTTACATTTATTGAAGTAACATCCAGGCTGGGCAGGATTGCAAAGACTTTGTGCAATACAATGTTTATAATCGTTTATTGGAGGATAATTATAATGATCATTATTGTTTGTAAGCTGTTTTAATTTTCCCCCTATTAAAATAAGCTTAAAATTTTGGTGTAGTGTGCAGATACACATGGTATGTGTACCTGGACCACCTGCTAAAACACAGTTTTTGGGTCGTAAGAATACAAATCTACTAAGACCTAACTGAATATCGTTATGAGTCTCTCTAAAGTGAACGAAAAGTTCTTTAATATTACATAAAATTAATCTTTTCTGCACTTGATCCTTTTTCCCATTTATATTCATTGATATAAAATTATTTTTTCCAGGCATAAGCCTACTATTTACTTCAGAATTATAAAAATTTTTTACTTTTTCCACAATATCTTCTGAAATATACCGACTTGGTTTAATAATATTAGGATTTGAGAGAATACCCTTTTCCCTAACTAACTTCTTGGCTGTTCTGGCCATAAAATTAGTCGTGGAAAATTCTTCTTCAATTTTTTTATTAGTCCATGATTTTGGTAAAATAGTTAAAATTAAAATTTTTTCGCTGCGAGAAGTTGTTGTTAAAAATTTTTCTTTCAATTGATTAATGATTTCGGATTCATATTTTTCAACTACATCTGACTCTGAATTTATCTTAAAAATATCCTTTTTAATCTTTTTCTGAATTTTAATACATTTATTTGTAGAATATTTTTTTTCAATAATTCGCTTCTTTTTAATAGGAGTCTCGTCTAAAAACTGTAATGTCTCGTTTAAAACTTCTATAGAAACATCTCTATCAATGTATTGTTCGGGAATTGTGGAAATAGATGGTAATGGTAAGTCATGTTCCGTGGATATATTTTTTAATTTTTTTCTGCATCCACTGCAAATTTTATCTTTTAGTGTTAACGACTTGTTTTTTTCTATCATCCACTGCAAGACATTTCTCAAGTCTTTGCGAATGGAATGCTTTTCATATTTGAAAGGATTAGAGCAATATAAATTAATTGGGTTCATTAAGTTAAATAATTGTGAAATTAATAAAATATTTGTTATTTGAAATAAACCTATAATTTTTAATTTTATTTTTTTAAGATCGATTTTGAGATTTAATTTTCTTTTTAAATAATATAATATGATTTTTTTATTATTTTTTTCGTTTAATAATATTATTGATTCTGATAATTTAGTTTCTGTTTCCCAATAATATAATATGATTTTATTATTTTTTTAGTTTAATAATATTATCGATTCTGAAAATTTATTTTCTTTTTCCTAACTAAAAAAATAATAAAATCAATTATAATATTGGGAAAAAGAAACTAAATTATCAGAATCGATAATATTATTAAACTAAAAAATAATAAAATCATATTATATTATTGGGAAACAGAAACTAAATTATAAGAAGCAATAATATTATTAAACGAAAAAAATAATAAAATCATTATATTATTTAAAAACTAAAATCTCAAAATTGATCTTATAAAAATAAAATTAAAAATTATAGGTTTATTTCAAATAACAAATATTTTATTAATTTCACAATTATTTAACTTAATGAACCCAATTAATTTATATTGCTCTAATCCTTTCAAATATGAAAAGCATTCCATTCGCAAAGACTTGAGAAATGTCTTGCAGTGGATGATAGAAAAAAACCAGTCGTTAACACTAAAAGATAAAATTTGCAGTGGATGCAGAAAAAAATTAAAAAATATATCCACGGAACATGACTTACCCTTACCATCTATTTCCACAATTCCCGAACAATACATTGATAGAGATGTTTCTATAGAAGTTTTAAACGAGACATTACAGTTTTTAGACGAGACTCCTATTAAAAAGAAGCGAATTATCGAAAAAAAATATTGTACAAATAAATGTATTAAAATTCAGAAAAAGATTAAAAGGGATATTTTTAAGATTAATTCAGAGTCAGATGAAGTTAAAAAATATGAATCCGAAATCATTAATCAATTGAAAGAATGAATTCAATAATATGGAAAATTATCTAGAAAGCAGATTTTTGAGAGCAAAATGAATTACGGGAACACAAAAATACCATGCTTATATTCCCCTTGACGAAAATAAAATTAAAGTCAAAATTTATTCCAATTCTTTAGATAATTTAATATATGATATATTGTAAACATATGAATTATTATATTATATGTAATTATGCATTTCAGAAAAATAAAGTTATAAATTGGTTTAGAATTATTTTATCAAGTAATTTCACTCACAATATGTTAACAATTAAAAATAAAAAAAAGTTAGGGCCTATCATTTAGACATAATTTTTAAAAAAACATTATTTCATAAGTATTCATTAAATGAAGATATTTTTGATCAATTTAAGCCATATAAAGAGTCATAACTCCTAGACCCTTTTTCATCCCAGGCTAGGATTTGGCACAAATATAAAGCAGTGTTATATCTATCTATAGAAAAAAAATTTCGAAAAAAAAAATACCTTTTTTTTTCTACGGCCATTTCCGGTTTTATACATCCGGTTTTGGACATTCATCAAATTTATATCATATTTATTTTTATGTCATATTAAAGAACTATTATTAAGCTACATAATAAAATTTAAATTATTTTTCTAACTTAATTATTTCTTGAGATATTTGAAAATAAATGAGCCACTTTTTGTCAAAAATGTACCATTTTTCCGCGCTTTAAACGCCCATATCTTAGCGGGTAAACCTTTTTGGGAGGTAAAATTTCATTTTTTTCTTAGTTATAGTATATACTACCAGTATGCAAAATTTAAAAAAAATTGAAAGGGGTCGGGTTGAAACCTTGGTTGATTTGATATGGAATTCACCATATATTTTTGAAATTAAAACTTATAAAAATTACAGAAAAAGGCTGAATATCTTAATTTTTATTATAAAACATTATTAAGAAGAAAAAAACATAGTAATATTAAATTTTTATTATTATTAATGAACGCCTTATCAATAAAAATAAATACGTATTAATTTTAAAAAACCGTTGTGAATCTGTTAAAAAGTATTTATAAGAGTTTGAAAAAAAAATCTTTATTTTTAATTTGATCTAAAATCTTCAAAGATATGTTCCCAAAAAAATTATGAAGATTTTATTTTTCAAACTCTAAATTTATAAGGCTTCGGTTTACTGCAACAAAACTAACAGTCAGTCTCGTCTTAAAATGGTAATTAGTTATGTCTTTGTTGCCTTTTTATATTCTTTTCTGTTTTTATTATATTTGTGTATATAATATTACCTCAGTGATTTGCATAGTGTACAGCCCTGGACCCTTTAGCCCTGGCGTGTATCTTATCCGCCACCATGTGCTTAAGCTTCTGGTAGTAGAGTTGTTAATATAGGCCGATATTAGTTTATCCGGTGGCTAAGAGGTGAAAATCGAAAACGATTATATTAAAATGAATTTTTTTATTACCCAAGGCTAAGGTTGTGCGATTGTTTAGTCAAATAACACTAGTAATAAATAAGCTTTTAAATTGAAAATAGGAGAGGCCAGATGCTAATACCTTAACTAATTATAATCATTCGTCTAGTTTCTTAATTTTTTTTTGTATAATTTATAACAAATTTTTATTTAATGAAAATTTGATTAAAAAATAAAATGTGAAAATATGTTTATAATATTAATGATATTGTTTATTCATAGATTTTCAGGATTTTTTTTCACATACCTTTCAAAATAGAGCAAGAAATTTTCGAGATGATCTTATATGAATGGAAAATTTAAAATAGGGGGTTTATAAATTTAAAGGAAATATACATTAGATATTTTTGGTTCTAAATCGTACAGTTCATCTTTATTTTATCACTGTCACAAATTTCAATGACACTATACTAAATATGTTGACATTTTACATTGTACCATTTACTTTATTTTCAACTTTGTACCAGTTCTTCAAGGAATCCCCCCAGTGATATAAATATGAATTTAAAGAAATTAAATTCAGCCCCCCCCCTATGTTCTAGCTTATTGCATAATTAAATCTAAAGTCCTTTTTGTACGCACTCGTACACTTTTAATGATCCAACGAATATTATGGTATGGCAGTCATTGGTCATTAGTGTATATTGTTTTTGCTTGCGTCTTGACGTCTGAGCATGGTGAGTAATTGTGTATATCTCTGCGGATTGTGTCTAGACCTTTCAGCATGTTGTAGCAGCAGCATTTATGGCTGGCCTGTGGTAGCAGCATCTACTCGTTGTGGTATTTGGTAATTAGAGAGCTGTAGATGCTGCTAACACAACGAGAGTAGATGCTGCTACCACAAGAAGCCATTGATGCTACATCATGCTGAAAGGTCTAGACACAATCCACAGAGATTATCAGCATTTACTCACAATGCTCGAACGTCTAAACACACGCCAATACAATATATACTATTAACCAATGACTGCCATACCATTATAATAGTTGAATCATTAAAAGTCTGTGCATAAAAAAAAAGACTTTAGATTTTAATTATCCATAAGCTAGAACATAGGAGGGCAGAAATTAAAATTTTTTTAATATAGTTAATGAATTTAAATACAACTTGGTTAAGTTATTGGGTTATTAGTTTTCAGTAAATTTCATATTTGCCAGTTAGCAGTATAGGGATATCGTTATTGGCAAAAGGTTAGTATAGGTATAACAATGATTTAATTAAAGAGAGAGAAAAAATGATATTCTTACTTTAGATCAAATATATTTTTTTATTTATTTAATTCACAAGCAAAATATCCAGATACAACCATTTTAATATATCTCATTTTCTTTATTCAATTACTTCCTAACTGCGTGAGCTTATATTTTCCAAAAGTCTATAATTACCTCAGAACTAATTGATTCAAGATGATTCAATATTCTAGGAGCAATAAATCGGAGACTAGGTGTGTGTTTTTTTTCGATTATGTCCAAATGAGATACAAGAAACACAGTCTAAGAGTTGTGAGTTCATGTTTAGGAGTTAATTTATATTTTTTGAAACTTAAAATATACAGCTAAAATTGAGTAATTCTTGAAGGGAAAGACCTTAAACGGAAGTCTAACTTGATCTTTTTAGCATTTAAAAAAATATTATTATGGGAAATATAACAAAAGGTAATGTAAAATGCCAAGATGATTTTATATATATAATTTGGAAACTTAAAAATATTAATATTTTTTTACTCTTATTGTTGATGTAGGTGGTAAAATTATCCATGAACCCAGGGAGGCGAGTTACCAATGGGGTCGCAAATTTGACTGTTTTCATAAATATCATTTTAAGCTAATAAAAATTTACCCCCCCCCCCCCAATCAAGATTTACAAATATTTGAATATCAATTTTCCAACATAAAACTTATTTTTTATAAATAAATTTTTTTTAAATTTCCTTTCCTTGTGAGTACATTAACATTATTCAAAAATATTAATAAAAAATGGAGAAATTTTTAGTCAAAGACAAAGATATTGAAATCAAACGGTATATAATTTATTATTAAATATATTTATTTTATGAAATTATAAAATAATTAGTTAGTGAGTTAGAATTTACTTTTATTAATATTTTAATTATTAATAAATATCTAATTTTATATTTTTCATTTTTCTTTAGAACAGAAGATATACAAAATTTAAATATGTCTGAGAATGTTGGCTCAATTTCCCGATTTTGAAGTTATTTTATATTCTTACATGTTTGCCTATTACAACATGCTACGAATGAAAGGACATTTTTAAAAACTTGAGAAGGCTGAAGACATTTTTACGAAGTACTACTTCAGAATCTCGGCTAAATGAAAATCCCCTACCCCCATAAGAAAATCATGGATACGCCACTGAACCTAGGGAAGGTTACCTTAAGCAAAAACTTTCCACAGCTATTAAATTAATCACACAAATTTAATTGGAAACCTTTTTCCTAAGGAGATATCCAATTGTTTTCAAAATCTTATTCACTTATTTTATTTTTTGTATATAATTTATTATATTAACATTTATATTGTTTTTATATTATTATATATAGTTATGATTCGAACCAATAAAATATTTTCCATGAATAATTTTAAAATTATTTAAAATTAATGGATTTTAAAACATGAATGAATTAAAATGATAATACTAAGAACTAGACGCCTTAAGTTAAATTTAAATATTATATGATGTAGTGGTGATTCCCCATAATTTTCAAAATTACTAGAAGCAAGAATTCCAGCATTAAAATTAAATTTATATATATATATATAAGATTTTTCATTTAGCAAATATTTCAATATAAATATATTTATAATCAAAAAGATTTCTATAGCCTATATTATAAAAAATTCTTAAAATATATTGTCAAAATTTATGTATTCTCAACAACGGGTATGATATAATAATTTAGCATTTCAAAGATTATTATGTTTGGATAGGAAAAAAGAAATATAAATTTTCAGTGTTGTGTTTTATAAGTCGATAATATCAACAATATCATTGCAATGTTCAATTTTTCGCATAGTATCAATCAATAGTTTATTATTTTTTAAATAGCATTATCATTTATATCTCTGAAAATCTCGATAGTATTCAACTTCCTATCTTTGTCTTGACGAAAGAAAAAATTATATAATTAATTTTCGTAATGTAACAGAAGGTAATTTCCTCACCTCCTATCCCTTAATAAAGTAAGTTAGACTTCCTACCGTCTTCTTCATGCATACGTACGTATCACATCAGTAGCGTAACTAAGGGGGCAGCGCACAGGGCCTTAAGCCCTCTGAAAAATTGATTCGTATTAAAAAATTGGTTTTTGTATAATTTTTTTTTATTACGCTTTGAAGTCTGCCATTATATTTTATAATGTATATTACTTTTATAATGTCTATCGTATTGGATTTCTTTTCTTTTTTTCCCCCTTTCTTATCTATCATAAGAATTTGACTTATAATTATATTCATAATAATCAAGAAAATATAATAAACTCAAATTTTTCATCATTCTTTTTAATAAATCATTCTGAAATAATAAAATAAAGTAATATTTGATATCATTAACATAAATTACAAATATCGAGTGTCGAAATTGTTTTTAATAAAATATGTTGTATTAATTTTGTATTTTACGTCGCAACAAGAAGATTTTGGCTGATAAATTTATGAGAAATTGTTCCATCCGGATCTCAGTTTGTTAAGATTTTTTAAAGTTCCTACCATCTTGTTCACTGTAAAATTAAAATCCATTTATTGAGCCATGCCTCTGAGCCAAGTTTTTATTCTGAATTTATATGGTTAGTCAGTTTTATCATGTTCATTTAGTTAAATATGGCATGGTACAATGTAAGTCATGTATTATATAAACAGTTTTCTTTTTAAAGCATAAACCAAAATGTCATATAAAAGATAAAAATTTTTAAAAAGAATTTAAACGCGTTCTTTTTCATTTTTGAAAATTTCTGCCTATCAGTTACATTTGCTTTATGTTTAGAAAATAATTTCCATCATTTCTCCATCAATCTAAATAATTTTAGTTTTCCTTTTGTTTTGATCTGTATTTAAGAGGCATGGGTTTTATTTTGTCACCGCTGCCTCCTATCGGAGAAAAAAAAATGTAAAATTTATGTCCGACCGTTCTAATCGTAACAATTTTTTTGTTAAAAGATCCGAGGTCAATAAAAAAAATATTATATTTTAACGAAATCGAAAAGAATTATGAGATGGCTGAAGGAAAATGAAAGATTTTTTGGATTTATTCCGAAAAAAGAATGTTTTTGTAGGAAAATTAAATGATTTAAAATTTGAGAAAGATCCGATTCCGATCTTATGTTCAAACCCGGCCCGGATATTTAAATATAAGGCAAGGGATTGGATAGAGTTGGATGTCTATCCGATTCTATCGGCATGAGTTCGTTTTCGAATCTGTTCATGCAGGGCCCAAATATGCTTATTCAGATTACCTACCATCTTTTCATCCCATATGCCTAAATTCGCTCTGGATGGATAAGCTGATTTATTGGTTCTTTCTAGAACTATCTTTGCTATTGTGGGCCTTAATATTTAATTGACAGACAAGCCAGTATAGTTAGGTGCACATTCATTTTACTTTCGTAAAGAATGGTTCATTTTCATTAAAGACTTTTATATTTTCAATTTAACGGAAATAAAAATAAAAAACAAATTTAATTTCAGTAAAAACTAACATATTTTCGCATCTGGCCCTTCTATCCTCATCTTCAACAAAGGAACTCAGTTATTTTGATAATTCGATTATATTTACATAAAAATATGCTAATAATTATAATCGAGTTAATTAATATTGATCCAATATGAAGTGTAGTTTTAGTGGTTGCTACAGTTAAATTATTTTTTTTTTAATTGCCAATAAATAAACAAAAAAATAATTACAAATGTTGTTTATTTTTAAATAACTTTTTTTAAAAATAAATAAATAAATAAACAAAAAATAATTAAATAAACAAAAAAAAATCTTTAAAATTAAATAAAATAAATCATCAATCAATTTGCATAGCTGGAATAAGTAGATTAACCGTTTTTCTTTGACAGGAAACGAAATATAAAGTGTGTTTAATTAATATTTTCAAATCTTAATGCATCAATTTTTTTTTGTATGATAAGAGGCGGATAGGAAGATCTTGCTTTTTCTCATACTACCCTTAAAAGTATAATTCTCATTGGGGCTTCTGCCCATAAGTATAGGTCTCTTAAGGCCTTTATCAATGAAAATATGGCTAGGGTTCCTCGCTCGGGAGTTATCTGGCAGACCATTGGCTGACTAAATATTCTGTAAACATGTTGCCGAAATTACGATAAAATAGGACAGCGGTGTAGCGCAAGCTCAAAAATAGCTTACCTCTTTTTTATTTGTGCATTAAATTAAAATAATAGGTGTACAATATCAGCTAAAGATGACGATTCAAATCTTATTCTATAGAATTTTAACTGCCAGTATAACGATTTTAAATGAAGGCGGGAGGGGGTGGGTTCTTCTCTGTATCATTTTAGTGATTATAGCTCAAATCAAGAAATGTGTATTTGAAGGAAATTTTTTTTAATTGGATGATATTCATAATTAAAAGAGATAATTGGCGTTCGTAGTATTAAAAGTTAGAGAGAGATATGGGTTAAAAATTTAATCATTTTTAATCAATAATCTGTCAAATTTGACAGATTAAGTGATTATAAATCGACAAATGAAAATTTAAATAAATCAGCTGCTGCATCAGAAATTTTCTCGAGTTGAACCGAAACCATTCTATTAGAATATGAAAGTGTTATCTTTAAAATGATATATAAGAGAACTAGCAAATTTTTGGAATGGGAGAAATTTCATCATGCCTTCCCTCACCCCCTTATCCGGCTACGTCTATGGAATATCTGGATTGAATTTACTCTCGAGATCATCTATTGGATCTGCTTAACCTTTTAATGATTAACGGTGTATATGCACCAGGGTAGATCTTCTATTTAGTTTGGGGATTAATCAATATAATTTTTTTTAAAAATGAACAATTTAATTCACCAAAAAAAATCTTGACCATTAATGGGTTAAGGATCAGACCTAAGGCTTATTAGCAATTTTCTCTTAATATTTTTTTTTCAAATATGTTATATGATGGTTATTTTTTAAAAAAAATATAATTTTTTTATATGTGATTTTGTCAAATAAAACATTATATATTTTGTTTAAAATATAAAAAACATAAAAAAAATAAATAGTGTGGAAAAATATAATACAAAAACATTGAGCGTAAAAGCGAAATCGATTTTGCTTGCTTGTTACAAAAAAAAAAATTATATACAAATTTATTTCCCTCTCTAATTATCTTTACCAAATATTTTCCCTTGATTTTTTTAATTTTATTTCTTCTTATAAAAAAATACATATATAAATTTTGTGATAATAAACTTTATTATTTTTTTAATAACAATAATATTAAATATTAATTACTAAAAATTTTATAATAATATATTCCATTTGGTTTTAATAATAATTATTCAAAAGAAAAATAAAATTATATATTAATTTTATGGAGGAAAAAAAATTTGGAGAAAAAAATATTCAGCAATTTCATGAGGAAAAATAAAATAAACTTAAAAATAAATGAAAATATTTATTCCTCTTTAAAAACCAAATTTGGATTTTGAAGGTAAGATAGATTCAGGTAAATTTTCGCCTATATTTATTTAAAATTTTGATATAGATATATTTTATTTATTTTTTTTATAAAAATTTTTAAATTTGCAACCACAAATTGCCAAAATTCTTGGGATCCTTCCCTTTCCAGAAGTGATTCAGAGTACTGTTGTTAAAAAAGATAATAACGTAAACTTGAAGATTTTGATCATAGATGGCACAAAAGGTTTTCAGCGAAATCTCAAGGCTTTGGCAATACTTTTCTGGCTTAAATCTTGATATAGCCGTTTTTAAAAATCGGCTCTAATTGAACTATTTAACAACATTAATTCTGAACTCAGTTATATATCATTATGGAACTAATATTTTCGATATTTTTCAAAATTAATAATTTTAAGGCAAATTTTTTTTCTCTTCAGTTTCCTCATTTTCTTAATTAAAACATCGACGTTTCCACTCGGATTTATTACGAGTTAGAAATTGATACCATAAAAGTAAATGCCACATTATTTAATTAGTGTTTCTATTATTTACTTTAAAACATTACTTTGAATATTAACTTAAGTTTTAAGTATATTGAATTTGCATGTATGGCGCAATTGGAAGTGGCTTTGAATCCAATATTTCTATATAAATATGAAGGTATGTATTACAGTGTTGTGCAGATTTAATTCAAAAACATTTCCATATTTTTTTTTTAATTCTTGACTCGTGAAAATTGATAAGAATATCTAAATATGTTATTTTTTTACTCATTTTTATGCGGGTCAAGTAATTTTATTTTCAAAGAAATTAAAAAATATGGACTTATCCATCAAATCTGGTCAACACTGTATATAATATATATTGAATTTAAAATACTATAGTTTTTATAAGTATAATATTCAAAGGGAAAACAATACTTTACCAATTTAAATGATTGACATTATAAAAGAACTTTTAATTTTTAATAAGGCTAAAAGTAGTGTTATTTAAAGGCTTAGTTTTGAACCTATTTTTAAAAACGGTTAACTCAATATTTTAGCCAGAAAAATATGGTAAGCCCTGAGATTTCGATAATATATGTCTAGACCTTTTTTCCTTCTATGAACAAAATCTTCAGGCTTGCCTAATATTTTCTTAATGAAATATTGACTTATTGAGTTAGCCTTTTTTAAAAATCGACTCAAAACGAGCCGTTCAACAACACTAGCTAAAAGGTAAATGAATGATATGTAAAGTTTATTAAAACAATTCCCCGGACCCGTTTCCCTAAAGGATTATAGAAATTGGGGTAGGTTTGGAACAGTGCAGATGAGTTATCATCTCAATTGATTATTACGTGTATAATAACCAGCTGATTCGAAGCATTGTTATTAAGATATAAGGTATTCTGGCAACTGGCAAGTTTTATTTTTTATATAAAAAAATATGAATTATATTAAAATCTCACCAGGCCAAAATATATTTTAAATAGCCGATTTAAAATGCGTGTTTATTATGTGGGTGTATAAAAAACATTTGACATCATGAATTCCCTAAACTTGATCTCTTTATCTAGACCCCTATAAAACCCGAGCCAGGCCTGATTTGTCATTGCTGCCATTGTTGTTGAGCTACAATATCCAAAACACTTAATTTTATCTACCTTAAAACACCTTTTTTTATAACATTTTTATCCATTCAGAGTTTGAGTGGATGTGTCATCTCCTATAGAAGAGTATAGATTTTACTAAGAAAAGCTTATAAATATTATGGGAAATTATTTAACGTAAAATAGAGTTTTATTGAGCCTCATAAACGCATCCAATCTAATCCAACTTCGGGAGTACCGTATTTGAAGTCGCAAGTGTTCCGCTTGATATCTTTATATACGCTTTATTTAATATATACACTGTTTATATAATAAAAAAAGAGAAAAATCATCTAAACACCATTTAGTGTTAGTCGTGTAAAAACCTCACTAAATATATAAAAGGTATTACATTAAAAAGAATTTAAGAGTTATATCATAGCTTTAAAATTTTGCTCAACAAGAACACTTTAAAGATATTGATCTCTTAGAGATCTTTTAAAATGAAGATCGTTTTAAAAAAGAGATTTTTTTTTTCTGAGAATGGTTAAAATTAAATTTTTACCTTAAAATCTCAATCCTTTATAAGTAAATCTTTTGTGGTTTTATATGCATAAAAATAATATTTCATGATGAAATCACAAATTCTTTTTGTCTTTTTAATAAAAAAAATATCTTAAATTTTATGACCTTCAAAGGCAAAATAAATCTTCGAAAAATCTTGAAATTTTTATTTTAAACTCTGGTTTATATTTAAATATAGATCCTAGTTTATCTTTATAAGTATAAAAGCGATAAGATATGATATGACATAATGTATTTTTTAAAAAAAAGGAAGTTAATATTTTATAATAAAATTTAATTAAAATTTAATTACAAATATATTTAAATATAAATAAGAATATATTAAAAATTATATATAAAAGCATAAAATATATGACCATTTTATAAAGAAAAACATCAAAAAAAAATATTAACTATTAAATATATTTAATTAAATATTTCGATACAGATAGCAATTATAGATATTTATAATAAAAAAATATTGTACATTTTTTTGTAAATTATAAAGTTCTAAATAATGAGTTATTATATTTAGAGATCTGCACGCCAAATACCCGATCATGACTTAGCGGGCTTAGGGCCGGGCTTATTTTTTAAAAAAAAATCGTGTTCGAGCTGAGTCGGGCCTAATATTTTCTAAATAAATTCGGGCCTTAGAAATTTTTTAAAATATATCTAAATTTATCAATTTTATGTTAAATTTATGTAAAATAAAAAATAATTTGATTTTATTTATAGAAACTAGGCGCCATATAACACATATATTTTATTTTGAGTAATTATAAAAACGAATTTCTATATTTAAATAAATTCGGGCCGGGCCGGTAAATTTTTTTAAAAAAAATTAGGCCAGGTCGGGCTTGAAAAATTAGGCCCGAAGCAGATCACTAATATATAAGTTAAATATAACAATATAATATTAATTAACATAATATCTTTCTGTACAATCAGCCTATATATAACAATTTATATAATAAATCAAATCTAAATGTAGATCATATTACAAAATAAATCATTATACATGCATAATAGACTGCTTATACCAATATATCTAATAAAAAAAATAAAATAAAATAATTAAATAGATAACTAAATATCTTTTATATATAAAAAATAATCAGAAATTTTAAAACTTTAAAAATTAGCGGTAGAAATAGGTATTTCATAACTTAAAAAAAAAGAAAGAAAAAATAAGAACAAACAAGGATAAAAAAAATTGTAATACTTTTTATAGGAAAAGAGGAGCTTAAAAGTCATAAAGATTGAGCGTTTTAGAAAAAAAAACGCAAACTTTTTTATACGTTTTTATGAATCGTATAAATTTTCTCGATACCATTTAAAATGTATATTGTTTGCGTTTTGCAAAATAACGAAAAGCACAATTCGGTCACATTATAATGAAAAAACCTGTCCTGCTAGAATCTCTAATTTAGTTTTTTAGTTTGGAAAAAAGGGACGTTTATCCATCCAATCCTTATTGACATTTTCTTGCCTTAGATAGATTTTAAAAATTTTAGAAATTACGGAGGAGGGATACTTCAGGAAATTAAAGATGAAAGAATTTAAAAGGTATAACCTATATTAATAAAATTAGTTTTTTTGACTTAATGGTGTTCCGAAATCAGAATTTTAACTAGAAGGAAATGAGGTAACGCTTGACACATTCTAGATGAGCATTTTATGGTTGTGCCAAGGCCAAAACGTTAAAGGCATGCCATCAGAACTCGCCATTCTTATTTAAAAGGCCAAATGGCTTCAAAGAAAAAGCCGGCGGAAATCAAAAATGTGTCGATCAACCTATTAAGACTGTCGTATACTCAAGCGAAACAATGTCTACTAAATGGGATGGGTCTACCTGTTTACTACAGGCAGCATAGATATCAACAGAAAGAATAAGACAATCTAATTTATGGCCAACACAAATTGGAACCCGTCGTTAGAGAGCAACATCTCATTCTCGAAATCGCTTCTTGCCTTTCGTGTCTATTGCTATTTTGCGCTTATAAATAGTTAAAGGATAATTAGATCAGGAAACATACAGAGTTTTCGAAAGCACATTGACGTACGGGGACGGGTTACTTAATTGAATAAGCGGGCAAATATAATTATTAGAATAAATCGGAGATGAAAGGAAACAAGCAATTGCCATTGGGTGGTGGGGGAAGGGGGGTAAAAATCCAAGGCCTTCTAAGCGGGAAAAAAGGCGAAGGACCAATTAAAATCAAAAAAAAATTTAGGACTAAAAGACATTGGATGAAATGTTAAAATTTTAATACAAAGGAATTTAGAAGGACATTAAATTGGAATGCCGGAGAAAATTTAAAGGTGTGCAAAGAACGGGGATAGAAGAAAAAATTTTTATCGAGGAAATAAAAATGATGATGGAAAGGGTAGGAAGATTGTTCATGGAATCAAGTTGCCAAAAAAAATTGACAAAAGGAAGAAAAAGATAAATTATTGGGAATGATCTTGAAACTGGTAGGAGGTATAATATCCTTATTGCTGAGAGAGGACATTATACATTTTTCTCTGTTAGAAAGGCAAATTTTGGAGGTCTCCAACTCAAACTTACTCGATAGCTGATATGAAGGTAAAAGGGCCGGGAAAAGAACCGTAGTCAAGATACCATAAAATTTAATTCTAAATTAAAATCACTCTTTAGATTTTTGACCAATACATGAAGGCCTCTAGTAAAAATCTAGGTAGAGGATCGTTTTAGCCTCTTGAAAAAATAAGCTCTCCAAATTTAGGAACTTGGGGAATTCATATCAAGAATTTGGAAATTTACTGTATTTAAGAAAGTGTATAAAGAAAGATGGAAGGAACGAACTCCCCATGGATGCTATCATTTTTGAAGCCTAATTTGCAGAAAGCCTTATCAGAACTTATCATTTATA